TTTTAGAATCTGATCATCTTTGGCCCTTCTCAACTGTGATAATTACATAGTTCGTTATTAATATGTTTAAAACATGATTTATGTTGTTAAGACCCTATACTTCTATGCTGCAAGGAGTGTTCATCGGGGATGTCATTCTGGCACTAAAATCAATATTTTCTTCGTTTAATTTTTCGTGGTAATGACAAAACATTTTATTCTCACATCTAAAAATGGTATTCTGCACTGAAACCTTTGTTCTGGCAGTGAAATCTTTTTTATTCGCTTTATTCTTCTTTCCATTTCGTTACAGAAAGCCTAACGCGTATTTTAAATTTTAGTGATCGTTTCTTTGTCCAACAGACAACTCTTTCAGTAACGATAATTAAGCTTCTCATTACGAAAGCATTTAAAACAATCTGTTTGTTGAAAGGCATGAATGCTTAATATTAACGTGAAGAATCCATTTAGCTTTTGACACGGTCTGACAGCTTTATGACAGCATTCCATGCCATTGCCGAATGGGTTCGTTCAGGGCATAAAATATAAAGCTTGTATTGCAAGATTTACATGATCAGTTTTACTGTGGCACGGAAATGTCGTTTGAAGTGAATATTGACGTTTTTGTGCTAATTACTTTCGGACAGTTGCAAAGCCTTTCAGCAAGTTTCAGAAGTCGTTAGCTTCTCTCTAAAATGTCACACGGTACTGCAAATCAAGCAGACATTAGCAGATAAAACGAGCGGGAACGAAACTTCTCTGTTTATGACGCCATCCTGTTACTGAACTCCGCAAATGCATAGCTTTTCTTTCTGATACAACCTTTCCTAGATGCGTCAAGAATTAGTGTATCATAGATACGCTAGGAGGCTTATTATAATAATTCCAACCACATGCATATATGACATTCTTCTAAGACTCTATTGCCCTTATTTTATTTTGTTCAAGTAGTAATTAACGTAGAAGTTGCATTCACTTTCAGAATGTGCATAATAGCTCTATTTATATTGTTGAGAGGTTTGCCAGCAGCCAATTCTTATTCGCTCCAGACACATATGGTTGCTTCCTGGTCGTGAACATTAGTGAGTAAATCGGCTTCCAGGTGATAGACGCTTTTTCTGGCCGTTTTTCGTAGAAACCACGTCTGATACATAGGATGGTGACTGTCATAAACTGAAAGGTGATATACCCTTCTTGAACCTTAGTGACACGTTATGCTTTTGGTCGTAATGGTACCGCCACGCCCTACTATTACCCGTCAGTGTTTTGATCAGTAATGACCCTAGCACATAGGCCAGATCAATATCCGAGTTCTTCACATTTATAAATCACTTGCGGAATACGCACAAGTATTTACAAACGGTGGTATTTGAGATTGTTGAAGAATAAATCAAGTAATTTCGCCAACACTTGTTCTCGGCACAATCATTTACTGTAAAAGCGGTCCTCAGGATATCTACGAACAAGCTTAGAATGTAAGTCCCACATCAAGACAGTTTTTGTTTGGCAAATGGTGGAATTGACGATATTTCCACAATGTTAGCATAAGGGACAATAATGACTCACTGAAGAAATAAAAGCAATGTCTCGTTAGGGTTGCCCCGTCCACTTTTAAGTTGGTGGAAAATGCTTAGATTCATTTTATATTTGACTTCAGTACTGCAGCATAAATGTGACTTGTTATTAGGATATTTAAGGCCTTCATAAAGTAGTTTGATCATCATAGTTTATAAGTATGTCCGAATATGTCAGATGATGAATGACTCATCCAAGACCAGATTTCACAGCGTATTGCAGCGCCTCTTTTTCTTGTTAAGAAAGCCCATTTGAGGAAGCCACAACTCCATGATTTTTGAGCACGTGCAGTGACAAATACAATTCTCATCACAGACGATTTTTCTGGAACTGCTGCTTCTTATATGCTACCACATAAGCATCATAAGCTGGTGAGTGTGAGGTGGCTTCAGCGAACAAAATGATGCAAGATGCGTCTGACACTGCAAGTGCTTAAATGACAACAAGCTGTGGCCTGCTTAAATGGTCGTCATGGGCAGCCAGAAACAAGCGGAGGTGCAGTACCCCGTGAAAGATGGTGTTGAAGGACTCATTAGTTATATTTTCTGGTTTCAGTTTATTCTAAAACTAAGATGTGCAAGCATATTTCTGTTCTGCAGCAGCAGATGATAAATTTTCTCGTACTGTTTTGGCTAGACAACCAACTTCTTTTAAAGCTGATAAACAATTAAGTTATGTTTTATTAATTACTTATGATTGACTGTTTAATTAATTTTAGTTTCCATTTTGTGATGGAGCTCACAAAGAACATAACGCCTTGACGGGTGACAACGTTGGCCCCATAGTTGTAAAGAAACGTGTAGTTTGACGTTGCGTGCATCATATGACTTCACTGAGGGGACAGAGGAAGGTGTAAGTAATTGCAGTTTAATTTTAGGTATATTGCCTTTATGCCATGATTTAGTCTTTCTAGGATCATCAATATTAAATGCCTCTAATCGACAGCTACCACGAGCTTCTTTTGGATTTTAAGTCAGATTCATGAGGATGAATATCCTCAGGTTTCAATCGTTGTTCGTTTTCCGGTATTGCGGGATTATCTGTTATCTTATCAGCCTTAGTCAACCAACACTTACTGCCAATGTTTTGATCCGGAGTTTGTCAATTTTTTTCGGTTTTACGTCATTTCTGTTATCTGGCATTTTAAATTGGTCTGTTTTAGTTACTTGTCGCTGCTGCTGTCGAATAAAGCTTTTTGTTCATTTGAACATCATTGGGTATGCATATTTTTATGGCGGTATAATGTTGATTGTTCATGGCGCATTTAATGGTGATACATTAACAGTGCAGATGACGATGACTGTGAACTTCAGCATGAGCTGTGGCTTTCTATAGTGGTGTGAAGCAAATCGCAATACCACTGTGATGCCCAAGTAAAAACTTCGTTACACTGATTATTGTTTGTTATGATCATCACGTTGAGTCATTTGCATAAGCAAAACGTCTGTGGTTTGTGACGTCTGTGATATTCATAGTTTTCCGGCGCTTTTACTATAAGGCACTGTATACTGTATTGCAGAAGGAAATGTTTCTCTCCGAAAGCAGATCTCCGATGTCTTATTCCTCCTTGTTGTATTCTGACCTCCTGATCAACGTCTGTGGTTGCTTCGCGAGTGTTGCACAGCCCGCCCTGTTTGAAAGAACTTCTTTGAGAGCAGTGGACTGAATTGACAAATTGTAAAGTAAGCACTAAAGTATTTCCGTACGCCAGAGTATGTTAAATAACGCCTAAATCCTTCAAGACTAGACTTCACGAATTGTTTCCCTGAGTGCGGATGAACTTTCGTCTCGAGGACTAGGTAACATGAAAATTGAATATGACAACAAGGTACTAAATTCTGCTGGTGACGCTACCGTGTGAGTGACTCATAAATTGTTTATCCTCTTTGCCACTTGAAGTAGCATTTAACGGAGTCTTGTCCTTTCTGATGCGGGTAGAGTGGTGGCTTATTTTGTATGGTAGTTTCGTGATGCAGAAAAATGTTGTCATGTCACTCACTCAGCTGACAGTTACGCTGTTCGATCAACCTTCGCTCGGATCCTCAGTGTGACGTTGCTTCAACTTCGTCATTCTTCTCTGCACTGTCTGTGAAGCCGTGTGAGAAAATGCTTCTAGGTTGACCGAACATATTTTATCGTTTATGTAGCGGACTGATCGACGCTGTTGTCGTATTGCCATTTCGCTCAACGAAGCTATTCCAGGGAGAGGGTAAGCATTAGTGATGAGCTGTGATCATTTTGCATATAGCAGCGTTGAAAGTTTAATGAAGTTTTCAGAATTACCGCGGATTTTTGAAACAGACCTCTCATCAGATTCTTGCACTGGCCTTCACCTAACCTGCATAAGTACAAAAGAGTTAGTCCGACGTTTTTGAGAAATGTTACCTTTGGTGTACTTTCTTGTGTTTAGCTGTGTTCAGAGAAAGTTTTTCGCTCTTTCTCTAGTTCTTTATCATCTTCAAAGGGTGACTGATTTTCTGGAATCTGAAGAAGATACTATGGCGATATTAATGGAGCCGTACGGACGTCTGTCAAATTTTTTTATAAAAAAGTCTCCTATTCACTTTTTTCATTCGAGCAAATCGATACTTTTTCTTCTTTCTAAAACGCTTTAGCGAGTGGACTTGAAGTGCCAATAAGACCTTTTGATCTGACACTACGAGCTCGGTATATGAGAAAGACACTGGATGAGCATACACCAGGTTTCTAACGATCCATGCGATTTTTGCGCTCTTATGTTGACGAATTCAATGTATTCGCTGGGTTGGTACTCAGTGGTTAATGAGAACTTGCAGCTGACTCTCAGAGTGAACTATCACAGCCCAATCACTACCTTAAATGAATTTACACCGTTTACCGTCATAACAGATAGAAACGAAAACTTAGTTTAGAAATATCTACTGAATTTTGCTGTAATTCATGCCACAGTCCATTGTTGTAGTTTACCGTTTCAAACAGCAATATATGCTGATTGGCCCATCAGAGGCCAGGCGCACGCATTTGACAGAGCCACCAGAGGACAAGCCAGTTAAGGTGTGTTCCTTTATGTGAAAGATGTTTGTTTCTTTAGCCAACGTAGCTCACTGAGCATGTCCGTTTGGTAGAGTACCGGAAATGATTAGTATACCTCCTGAAACAGCTAATCCCTTGATCGAATAGGAATATTAAGCATTGCATATGAATGAGTCAGCGGTATGAGTCACTTTCTCTTAAGTCGCGTAAAATTTTAATTTACGTTTACACTGTTTACATGTTGACTCTTAGACATCTGTCAGGTGATTCAGGAAAAATAACAGTCCTAAGGCACACTCCAAGAGGCCTAGCTGTTCCTATGATTCGTAGATCAGCGATCTGTTGCCTATTTTTTCGGCTGGTTGAACTGAGGCATAGTGAGATAGATAACTTGCTCAAGGGAAGGAGCAAATTTATGCCCCATATGGAGTTTGAATCGGGTACCTGGAATGTGCTAAGCAGACTACCAGCCAGTTGCGCCACGGCTGCCATCAAACAGATCTCAGCTTTCGAGTTGTAAATGCGGTTAGTTTTGGTAATTACACGATGTGGAGATGCAGCTGTACGAAAAAATGGGTGAGCTAACGAGGCAACAGTGTTCTCGGACAAACAGACAGATCATTTGATGCGTTTGGTGTTTAAAAAAATGAACCATGAAGAAGGAACTGTCACGATAAAACCAAAGAGAACTCTGGGGGCTATATTTGTATCATTTCTGAAGAAAGCATGACGATGTTTTCGTCGTAGTGTTTGTCTGTTGTAGTATACACTTGTATTCTAACAAGTTCTGTAATTTACCATGCGATAGGTAGGCTGATATGGTCTGCTGCAGTCTTCGAAGAATACCAGTCTTTCGCTGAATGCTTATCGATAGCTGTACACAAATCCTTAATATTTTTTCCTTTCTTCTTTCTTTACCTGACCTGGCTGAGAAACACTTTATTGGCATCTGCTCAGTTGTTAACTTTTAACGAAAGTTTCACCGAGTTGATTTTTTGTAGCTGAAAAGGTTTAATCAACAACAGCAGTTCAATAGATAAGATAGTGAATAACTTATCTGAGCGATTTTCAGTTAATGCCTAGACATACAAACTTCAGAGCAGGCCACATTTTACCCGCTGAAGTTGGCGACTTGTTCTTATTGGACCAGAAAGCTCAACGAACACTCAATATGATGTGCTTTAAGATGTATGCTGGCGTTCGACGTGATGAATCGCACGACTATCTGCATTGATCGCAGCATAGCCATAGGATATTTATCCACCGTCAATGTACCGACCGTTTTATCCGCACAAACAAAGTGGCTGTTGGGTCAGTTGCATGCTGAAAACCGGTTTCTAGCCTCACGTGACTGTATCCTAAAAAACATTTATGCTTGGACAGTCAAATGGAAAAAGAACATTTGAAAAAACTTGAAACGCACCATCGCGAATCGCTACCACCGGCAGCGTGTATTGTCCGATGAAGTCATTCTGCGCCTTTCGGTTGAAGTCCTTCACACAGAAACGAAGAAATGCCAGCTCTGGCTCCCTGACGTAGATGTTGAACGTCTCGTTCCACATTGGATTGAACCCTTGAGGCGTAAAAATCCTCAAAACACCGTAACGTCCTTACTCTTATTCTAGATTACCGTTGTTCCAGATGACACCGGTTTTGAACTTTATGCAGTCTTCAATGGTACCGAACAGTTCCACCGATACGTATGGATCGATGACTTCGGCGTAGCTTTCAGCGGTAGACGGTTTCGGCAGGAAAAATCCAGCGATTACCTAAATTTTAAAAATAATTTTTTTTATTTAAACTTCAACTTAATCGGGATTACCTCTACGTTTAATGTTAGTGGCTGAAGCCTTTTTGCCGCTTTTTTCTCACCTGTAAAATAACATATAGTTAGTCGAAAGTTGTAAGGTGTTTCTGTAGTTTGTAAAGATGCGGTAGTGGCTGTGGTTCCTTAGCAGTCATACATCAGTTTATGTAGACGATATTTACTATACATCCATCCATCTATTTGCTATACATCCTCACAAATGGAAATATTTTAGCTGGCTGCTAATTTCTTTCATCAGGACAATCCCCCCTTTTCCGTTGGGCTTAAAATGTGCTTCGCGATGCAGCTTAAGAACGAATAATAACCGAATAACCAGCTCTGGGATCGGCCAGTGTTTCGTCTTTGGAAGCAAGTAAATCAGTACGAGGCTACGTGATATTGCGTTTAACAATAAGCATGGTCGATCCTCAAATTTTCATATATGGCGACCCTTTGAGCTGCAGAAGAGGTCGGATTAATAGAAACCAGAGGTGTGCCAACTGTTCCTTTGCGTCGGCATTCCAGCGTCTCTCATGGATATGTAGACTTAGCCAGGAAGAAAAAAACTCAGCCATCCAAACTGGATTGTCCACGGCACACGACCAGAAAACAGCATCTACGTCTGACCTCTGGTTGGCT